GGTGAGGGGATTCCCTCCACACCTGCTGAGCATCTGCCTCTCTGGGAGGGCTTTGGGCATTGTCGGGACCTGTCGGGCCTCCAAATTCTGGCTTTAGATGGGCACTCTGGGATTCCCATCTGGCTTCAACTGCCTACCAGCCGGCCTGCCAAAGCCTGGGCCCTACCTCTTCTCTGGGTTTTGCAGAAATCATATTCTCAGTCCTTCAAATGTGGCTCAATACGTGTTGTTCTCAAATCTCATGACAATTTTTTAAGAAATATCTATTGATTTGAAAATTCCCACCTTATTTAAAAAAAAAACAGAAGCCCAGCATATAATGCACCTGGTTTGGGGTCAGAATTGCCTTTGAGGTCTTCGAGTGGGACCCTCTTCCCCCCCAACACTCAGAGACAGACGCCCCAGCCTCACCAACTTCAGTGCCCAGAGCCTCGGTCGGGTCAGCTCCTTGCTTGCCTCTGAGCCAGTGGCCCATTGGGTCAGGGCTGCCAACGTGTGTCTATGAAGGGTTGGGTGTGGGGGGGCCATGGGGGGGACAAATCCCTCAGCAAATACCTCTCTCTGTCAGCTCGCCTGTACAGTAAAGGAAATCTGATTTTAAAAATAGAGCTTGGAAGAGGAGATGAGAGGATATTTAGGAGCAGAGCTGAGCGTGGGGCGGGGGGCCGGGGTGGAGGAATTAGGGGAGAGGTGAGGACAGGGGAGGAGGGTGGGAGGCTGGGGGGCTGAGGAGGAAGGTGAAGCTGGTGAGGAGCGGGGAGGCTGTGAGGATGGAAAGGGGAGTAAGGGAGATGTGGGTTCTCTGGAATGCTGGCCATGCCCCCTCTCCTAGCCTCCAGAAATTAGCCCAGTCACACCTGGGGCCCCTGGCTCTCTGGGCGGCCAGGATGGGTGTCAGGTGAAGGTCCCTGTCCATCTTGGCCTCCATGTAGGTGGTGCTCAGAGCTCCTTGGGTTTGAGGATCATAGCTACTGGGTCTTAGGGGTGAAGTGGCCTCAAAATGAATACCCCCCGCAGCTCCCTCTGCTGCCTGGCCTGCTCTGGCTTCCTGTGGATGGAAGGCGTAGCGCCATAGTGAGGGTGGGCATGCAAGGATCCTGGGAGGGTTTGTTATTATTTATTGATTATTATTATTATTTATTTTCTTGAACTCATGTCAAGGTTAAAATGTGTCCATGGCAGCTTAAGGCTTGGAAGCCTTCCTGGTTTCTCCGGTATGAACAAGCGTTAAGGATGGCTCATTCGGTGGGAGTGGGTGAGGAGGCTGGTGAGATTCCTGGGAGCTTCCTGAGGGCCTCATGAGGAGCTTGGGTTGGGTCCCGGGGGTCCCAGTGGACTGTGGAGCCTGCCGGGGCTGCTGGCCTGGCATAGCTTACATTGGAGTCCTTCCCCCTGGGACCCTTCAGTCTTGCGCAGCCTTAACTGTGGCTACAGACGACTTGAGCCTTACAGGGTGGGAGGCCGCTGGCATCTCGGCCCAGGGCAGCCCAGTCTCAGACATTCCCTCTTTTCCCCTATGGTCTGGACCAAGGTCCTTGAATGCCAGGCCCCGTGGGCCTTGGACTTCGTCGTAGTGATGGGGAAACTGAGTCTTTGGAAGGAGGAACAGGGAGTTACAGTAGAACTAGGCTGTCCCCAGGGTGTGTCTAAATCCCAAACCACCCAGCAGGCTAGGGGTCTTCTGTAGAGGGACCCTCAGCCCCTCACCTTGCTAAGCCACTGAAGTGACAGGCAGTGCCCGGGCCCAGCAGCACTCCTGCTGCTGTGTCCCTGCCCCCTCCACGCTTGACTGGCAGCTCCAGGGGGCAGCTGGATCACTCTGCCCAGAATAACCCTGGGAAGGGGCGTGTGCCGCCTGCAGGAGGGGCTGTGCGAGGGGTAACGGGTGAGCTTGTCCTTGTCTTGCCCAAATCAGCGGGGCCAATCAGCTGCTCCTGAGGCTGATCTTGCCTTTCAAGGCAAGTGGGCAGGGACAGGCCCGCACCAGCCTCCTAGCCTAGATGGGCACTGACTGTCAACGTGACCTTCCTCTCCCAGGTCCTCAGTTTCCCCATGTCTGCAGGGAGGCTTTGAGCAGTGGTCTTCTCGCTGTGCTCCTGTAGCTCTGGGGTTCCTGAGAGGTGCCTGTGGGGGGCCCTGGGAAACAGTAATGAGAGGAGGTGGCTGGTCCAACAGGTGGAGCTCAGGGACACCCATCGCTGCCTTAGTTCCACCAGCTGCTCCTATAAATTGGGGTCATCATATTGTTTCATTTAAACAGAGGTTGCCAGATCTGAGCAATGGTTGAAAGCACAGACCATGTGGTCTCTTCTAATGGCTTGTCTTGATTTTCCAACCTGGGCTGGGAGGGGTGTAAGAGTGGAACCTGCTTGTCTCTCTACTCTGGGCGAGAGTAGAGAGAACCTGCTCTCTACTCTCGCCCAGTGGGCTGCATGGAGGAGCCCAGGTGGCTGCAGGCCTAAGAGTGTGGCTGTTCTTAGAGTAGGAAGGTGAAGACTTCAAGGCAAACAGGGAGGGCCCCACCTCGGGGCCTGGTAGAACTAGAATGAGGGCAGGAGGCAGATGAGAGGCTGGCTAACCTGGCAGAACCTCAGTTTCTCAACTTGCAGAAAGGTAGGAGCACCTCCTTCCCAGGGAGGACGGGTGTGTGAAGCTCTTTGTAAACTGTAAATGCTACGGACAAGTCAGGGATAGCTACTGTCATTAGAATTCTTACAATTATTACTTCCGGAACACTCACTGTAGTGGGAACGGTGAAGATTTGGACAGCATTTCATGCACGGTGTCAAGTTTAATTTTCCCATTAACCCCACAAGGGGACGATGCCCTGCTTGGAGAGTGAGTAAACTAGAGTCCAGCGGGGTGAAGTGGCTGCTCTGGAGCCATAATTATCAGCGACAACAGTGCATGGACCCAGGGCACAGGACCTTCCCTGGAAGGGGCAGGCTGATGACTGGAGTTGGTGAGGGGTACGTGCGGAAGACAGAATGTGACCCAGAAAGGGATGGTTAGATACATTCTAACGAGTCTCTGAGTACCTGCTCTGTGTCAGGCATGATTCTAGCCACTTACCCCTAAAACTGACTTTGCTCCTAACGAGTTGGGGGATGTGCCGCTGTCTTACAGAGTTAAACTGGGATTCGGAGGGCGAGGTGCTGGCACAAGGTCCCGGAGAGACAGAGGCAGGGTTTAAAGCCAGGTTTCTCCTTTCTCCCCTGGTAGACGGTGAGGGCAGGAGCAGATGCCCAGGATGGGTTTGGCAGTTGCCATTTGGGGACCTGTCGGGACCTTCAGGGCCAGATATGCCATCTTCATTCCATGGTGTTGATACTGCCAGCCTCGTGGCTTGGGGGGCATCCAGACCACAAGAGTGGGGGTCTCGCTGTCTGCCTCCATCTCCCCCAAAGGTGCTTGCTGTCATTCCCAACTCATTCTAGCTTATTTGGTGTTGGAGGAGGGACAGGACAGCTGGCCCAGGACCTGCTAATTATAGCTGCTCAAGTATTTGAATAGAGGCCTTGAGTACTCACCACCATGTCATGTTTTTTGCTTACAGACAAATGAACCCTTTAACCCTTGTCTTGAGCGCCAGCCCATCCCATTCACTGCCCCACCTCCCCTGCCCGCCCACCCGATCCCTGGGGGAGGTCGACATGGGACCTCTGCCCCACATCTTACCTTGATGTGGGCTGCAAGTGTTCAAGTGGATCTCCTCACGTCCTGTGCCACTCGATCCTTGCTGCTCACTAAAAAGTTATTGAATACATTTGTTTCTTTAATTATGAAAGTCCAGTCTTTTTGACATGCATACATTTTCTACAGTAGCAACCACAGTGCACACACACAGTCTTCCCGCCTGCTCTGCTTGTGTGCCTTTCTGTTATGAGCTTCTTTTTTCCATGTGGCTACATTGGGGACCTCTGTGATGCTTCCTGAGTGCTTACTATGTGCCAAGCGCTGCTTTCAGCATTTTACAGGTTTTCACTCTTTCAATCCTTCAAAGAAGCTGTGAGGGCCTTCCTTTTATAATCCCCATTTTTCAGAAGAGGAATCCGAGGCCTTGGGACATACATCCACCCACCCGGGCCCATGCTAACTTTAATAACCTGGACTGGGCAAGGACTAAGTCCAGCCAGAGCATCAGCCTCACTGGCATCCTCGCTGGCCATGGCCCTGCAGCCTTGCTCTTCAGCTCCTGGAAGCCTCCTGCCCTTGGTGGACACCCAGTTTGCTCTCTAGCAAATGGATAGAAAAGTTTATGTGAGTCTGGCTAGGTGGGGTGGCTCACACCTGTAATACAGCGCATTGGGTGGCCGAGGCAGACAAATCATTTGAGGTCGAGACCAGCCTGGCTGACACGGTGAAACCTTGTTTCTACTAAAAATACAAAAATTTGCTGGGCGTGGTGGCATGCGCCTGTAATCCCAGCTACTTGGTAGGCTGAGGTAGGAAAATTACTTGAATTTGAGAGATGGAGGCTGCAGTGAGCCGAGATCATGCCACTGGGCTCCAGTCTGGGCAACAGAGTGAAACTCTGTCTCAAAAACAAAAACAAAAAAAAAAAAAAAAGAAAAAAAATGTGTATTTGAGTCTGGACCCCGGCCTCTGTTGGACTCTGAGTAAATCTTAATTTAGCTTCCGGAGCTGCAACTCCTTCCTCCTGACCCCGCCACCTGCATGCGCCATTCTAAGTGACTGCACCCCAGGCTGGTCATCCTTTCCACCTTGGGTCCCCATACACTGCGACCCCATGGGGTTTTTGTCCTGCTCCCTCATATTAATCTGCACTGGTGATTCCTTTCTCCCATCCTTCCCTCGGAACACAGTAGGGCTGCTGGCAGCAGGTGAGGCCTGGGGCAATGGCTCAGAGAGGCAAGATGCCATTTGGCCATGCCAACGAGTGACCGGTTTCTCCTCTCGCCCTCCCAGGTGGTGTGAAGGGGAGATGGCTGCTTTCTCCTGGGAAGGGAGCAGATGCCTGGCCCAGGACCAAATCAAAAGGTCTGAAAAACTATATTGCTTGTCCTAATGTGTAAATTTCAACAATTTGCAAATTTGTAGATTCTTTAGAATGGAACTAACTCAAGCCCTTCATTCTGCAGCTGAGGCTCACTGCCCCCAGTGGGCAGTGGGTCCGGGGGTTTCTGAGGCCAGGGCATGGCCCAGTCCTGCTGCCCCCAGGATGGCACCTGGTTTGGAGGCGTGAGTAGCCCTGTTAGTCTGACTTTGAAGAAGACCAGCCTTCCAGACTCGCTTGGTGCCCTGCCAGGTATGTGCGCTCTTCTCTCTTCCACCCGATAGTCCCTATTGGGAGATGGGGTCTGAGAGGAGTCAGGGTCCTATAACCTTAACACAGTGTATTATCCAAAAAGCCAATAACCCTGTTACTCTTGTTTGTCTGCTATGTGAAACCAAGGGTGGTGTTAAAGTTTATCACCATGATATACAGATGTGCATGGGAGCATCTGGGACGGGGCTCAGGGGGTCTACCTGGAGGTCAGAGAGGCCAGGCTCTGCTTAGGGGAGATGGATGACTGTGGGGGTCAGATAGGGCAGGCTCTGCTTAGGGGAGATGGATGACTGTGGACGTGTGGCTATAAATCATCCTCCCCGTCTTACATAGGATGGGGATGCAACTTTCAAGAGTTGCCTTGATCGATACCTTAAAGGAAATAAAACAGAAAATGCTTGGCACATAGTAGATGCTCAACACATGTAGAAAAGGCACCTATTTTAGGTGGATCTGCCCCCAAATGGCCCTTTTGCAAGCCCTTCTCATTTTTTGGAACCCAAAGGGAAGATGTGGGGAGCCGGGTTGGGGTGGAGGGGAAGGGCGACGTGAGGTTGCAGAGGGCATTTTCTTGAGGCAATGGCATATCTTTCATTGGCATTGGCTGGGTTTATGTGGACTTTGAGAGGAGTGGAGTGTCTCCAACTGGGGCTACCCCAGCCTGCAGGTTGGATGCAGGTAACCTCAGCCTGGGCACTGCATTTTTATTTACCATAAAAATATTTCATATTTGCTGGGTGTGGTGGCTCATGCTTATAATCCCAGGACTTTGGGAGGCTGAGGTGAGTGGATCACCTGAGGTCAGGAGTTTGAGACTAGCCTGGCCAACATGGTGAGACCCCGTCTTTACAAAAATACAAAAAATTAGCTTGGCGTGGGGCGCATGCCTGTAGTTCCAGCTACTCAGGAGACTGAGGCATGAGAATAGCTTGAGCCCGGGAGGCAGAGGTTGCAGTGAGCCGAGATCGCACCATTGCACTCCAGCCTGGGTGACAGAGCAAGACTCCGTCTCAAAAAAATAAAAAATAAAAAAAAAATTATATTTGCAAAACTATGGCAATCACCTCAAGGTTTTCAAGGTTTTCACAGGAACCAAACCCAGTCTAAAATAAAATGCTATGTAATAAATAGTGGAGCCTCACATGCAGGAAAGGTGATTAAGAGCGAGGCATGTGGGCCGACGGCTGCTTAACCTGTCTCAGATTTCTTCTGCACAAAGTAATGGTTGAAAATAGGTCTCTGCCTGGCAGAGGGGAAAGAAGTACTCAGAGGCCTCTGTCTGCATTAGCTCAGCGCGACGGGAGACATTTAACCAATTAACCAATTACTGATCTGTGCGGATGGAGACTGAGCAGGACGAGGGTGTCAACTGACTGGGTGTAAAGTGGGCTTAGGTTTGTCTTCTTGGTGTCTGGGAGCCTCAGTGCCTTTCTATGTAGATGGGAGTATGCTTGTCACATCCTTGTTGCACGTGTAAACCTGTGCCTGTTTGAGGACTCTGAGAGCCTATGATGGCTGCAAGGGGCCTGAAGCTTAGTGTGCAAGCAGGAGCTGGGGACAGAGGGGCTTCTGATGGGAGTCGGGGTGCCTCCCCTGGATGTGGGGGTGGGCTAGGGTGGGCAAGGTTCCTTCCCGTTCTCCTGCAGCTGACAGTTAGAAATGCCAGTGCCGTTTAGCCACAGTCCCTCTGGGTTAGAGTCGGGAGGAAACATGGGTGTGTTTTGCACAGGAATCAAGCTGTCAAGGGGCGCGGTGAGGCCCCAGCTTCTTACCAGCAAGCCTGCTCGGTTGTGAATGCGAGCCGCCGGGCCGCAGCTCTCTAGAGGCCCGTGTCCCCACCGCCTGGCCCTATCTCATGTCACATTCCCCCGAGGTCTCATTCCACTCGGCTAATCTTCAAGAACACCGGCCAGGGCACTGGCTTTCGGGTCCTCTTAAAGACCAAAAAGTAAAGCGCTCCCCCGTGGGTGCTGGGCAGCTTGGCAGGGATTTGGGACTGTGGGTGGTGAAATCACAGCCTTGGGCACACACCTGCTGGCCCCATGTCAGTGACAGGCTGCTTGGAGGCTTGGGGCTCCAGTGAGAGCATATAGATATTTTTAAAAAAAGACATTTGCGATAAAGTAAATCCCCTGTGTCTGAAGAACTTGCTCTGGGCATATGTACCCACTCCCAATCCGTCAGCAAGCATGCCCTTTGCTTTGTATTTGTAAAAACAGAAATGAAAATAAAAACAACCCACAAGCGAACAAACAAATTAAATCCCCCCCCATAAAATGTTTATTCTAATTATGCAAGAAATGGATTGATAATTAATACATGCATTAGTAAAAATCAACGACTACAGATGAAGCCATCTTTAATGCCTCCCTCCATCCCTCCCCACCACCCCCCAGCAAATTAACTGCTCTTCTCAGTTTCAGGCATCTGGTTCCAGATATATTTTTGTGCATTTGCATATGTCGATAAATATACCTCTAAAATCTATGACTATTTTTTACATAAACTATATCATAGTGTACATTTCCTCTCGCAGCAGCTTGTGTTTCTTCCTTCAAGAGTCTGCTTAGAGATAATAAAGATCAACACTATTCCTTATAACAACACCTCAGTATCCTGTGAGCTGTACACACCAGAGTTTATTTAACCACCTTGCTGCTGGCATGAAAGCCTCAGGTCCTTTACCCTGGTGGGGGTGAATTGTGGCGGCAGGTGTAAGTAATTGCTGAGATATGGGTTTGGGGAGTGGGTTCACGAGTGTTTATGACATTATTATAAATGAATATATGAGTGCATAAATTAGCAAAATAAAAGGGGGCCTTTCTGGACCAATGATGAGACAGTGTTTATGAACAAAAGATCATGATTAATCCAGTTCTGCACAAAATACTGAGGTCCATTAGAAGACAATAGGTCTCGGCTTATTCAATCCTTTTAAGAGCTGTTTAATATTCCATGGTATGTATGCACCATTGTTGATTACACTCTTTTCTGCTGTTGAAAATCTCAGCTCTGGGGGAGGAGAATGTGCAGATAGAAGCTTTGGTCACAGTCCTAGTCGTCAGAGTGGGTCACAGATTCATAGGTGTTCATTAAATTATTTTTTAAAAAAGAATACATAAAATAAAAATGGTCCTTATGCAGATCAGTGAGGAAGCGTGTCACAAATCGAGGTTTTAATTAATAGATTCTGCTCAACTGATGCCCGATAAAAAAGATCTAAGCTGTTTCCCTTTTTTTTTTGTTACCAACGACACTGCAGTGAGCATTCTTGCAGCTAAATCTGTAAACACATCCTTGACTGTTCTTTTCCCCAGCTTCTTAGAGATGGGGTGGTGGGTTAAATTGTTTGCAAAAGTTTATTTTCATTGAGTGATCTTTCTAACATGGCATTTTGACCTTGTTACTGTCTTGCTTTAAAGCCTCCATCTGACTTCCTGGAGCTTCCGGGATGGGGTCCAAAAAATAAGGCCTTATCCTGGCATAGAAGACCCTTTAGGGTCTGGCTTGGAACTCGCCAGCCTCAGCCCCTCCCCACTGCCGTTTCCCTGCTAGGCGCACCTCATCCCCACGGGGCTACCTGTTCCTCAGCGGGGTCCCTGCTTCTTACGCTTCGCCTGGCCATGCCTTTTCAGCCAGCTGCTCTCCGGCCTTAAAGAGCAGACTTGAAATATCCCTGCTGGGGAGCCCAAAGTTAGATGTGCCCCCCAAAACACTGTGTTCAAAAGTCCTGACCCTGGAATTGGGATGCCTCATTGACATTTTTTTTCCCAGTTAAAGGGAATGTTTTACATTTTTCTAGAATTGATAAAACTAGCCAACTGTTAATCACTCCCCTTCCTTTGTCCCTTTCTAGAAGCCCTGGGCTCCCCCAGTGTTGCCTGGATCTGACTTTGCCTCAGTGAAAACCACCTCGAATTCTTTCTTGCACTGATGGGCAGATGGGCAGTGTCAGAGGATCGTGTCGTCTGCCCTGTGGCGCTGGGTAAGTCTGCAGTGTTGTAAAGCTGCAAACACCCTTCTGGGTGGGGCTCAGGCTGGCACCCCCAACTGCCCCAGCCTGCACTATACCAAGTTCCCCTGATGCCTGCCTTGTGCAGGGCCCCAGAACCCAGGGTCATGGGGTCCACTGTGCAGGAGTAGCGTCTCAGTGTTGTGAGTTTGGGGGACGAGGTTTGGGGTATGGCTACAGCTTAGAAATGGCTGATTGCCATTATGGCTCCTTCTTGCCAGAGGTAAACGGGTCTGGTCCCAGAACAGGAGGAGGACACATGATGACTGGAGTAACGATGAGGGGCTCTGGGGAAGGACAGGGCTGAGAGTGAGTGCTTGGACCTTTGGGACAGAGTCATATTCTAGAAAGAGCACAGGCTTTGGGGGAGAGGGGCTGAGGCCAAGGCAGCATCCCCCAGGGGAGCTTGTCAGGAGTAACAGGAGCCACTGGCAGTGTTCTGGGCTTTTGGTCCCTTTTTTTCTCTCCCAGGGGAGGGGAGAAGGAGGCATTGCAGGAAGCCAGCCACCCCGAGCACAGACCCAGCTACAGAATAGACTCGAGTTGCGTGTCCTTGGCAAATCCCCAAGTGTTTCTGTGCCTTGGTTTCCTGATATTAAAAAAAAAAAAAGGACTCATAATCTCTCTCACACAGGGCTATTGAGATCTCAATGAGGAAATAACGCAAATAAATCATCCAGCACAGTAGCCAACACGCAGTACCCGGCAAAACTCGGTAGCTCTCCCCATCTTACCCCGCCACGAAATGCTTAACCCCCTCCCTGAGACAGGCTGCCGCTCCCTTTCAGGGCAGGGAGACCCAACGGAGGAAAACAAAAACGCCAGAGAGAGCGTGAGGGGGAAATAAAAGCTGACGCTCGCCCCCCTCCCAGACACCTTCCCAGGGAAAGGGGTGCTTTCTTGAACACCTGGGGGCTGGGGAAGGGGCTGCCCTACCACTTTTAATCGGGCTTTCCCGAAAAGTTCGGTGAGAGTTTATTTTTGTGTAAATAACATATAAAAAGTCAGACTTCTCCTCAGGCAGATTTTTTGAGGCTCGTATTTTATAGACTTTGGCAAGGGTCGCTCGGAAGGAACAGTGGTTACAGTCTCCAGAGGTTCGTAATTCCTGGAAAAACTTCTGGCCAAACCTGACTTCTCCTAAATTTCACAGAAAATTCTCCCCGGGCTGGGCTCAGGCTAAATGAGCTTTTTGTGTGTCGGTACAGCCTTACCTAGTGGAAGTATGACTTGCACGTTGCCTTTTACACAAAAGGGAACCTCCTCGGCCACTGTGGACAAAGGCTCCACTCTCCGAAATTTTTGATTTGTTTACTCAGGAGCGTGAGCCTGGTCAGCCACATGTCTGACACCGGGGCTATTTCTCTGCGGCCGTAGGTAGAGCTGTCCAGGTCTCTGCAGTTTAACCCTGTGCTTCATGCCAGAAACCCGTTTCCTAACTTCCTCAAGCACAGTGCAACGGAGCTAGAGCAAAAAGGAGTACGGGGGAGTGTTCCCTCTGTGTCCGGCAGGGGCTAAAGGGCTTGCTACCCTGTGACTTCTGCCTCTAAATAGGGATTTGGGTTGGTAACTTTTTACATCTACACCAAAGCCCTCCAGAACCCTTTCTGCACCACCAGCTACCCTGAACCAGAAATCCCTGTTCACAGAATTTCCCATGTGGGTGCCTCTTGTTCTGCCCCCTGCATTGTGCCCCCTCCCCCATTTATGTTACACATGTAAATGTCACTCTCCCAAACATTTTCACACCTGCAGCGTCAAATCAACCCTTTAATAGGTTAAAACAACAGCACCAACAAAAACCAACAAAAACAGAGGCTCCGAGAAACAAAACAGTTTTTCCCGAAGGGCTTGCAGTGCCTAACTGAGCTGCCAGGGCAGTCTGTCTGTCTGCTAGCCAGGAAGGCAAACTAGCCTGCGTGCTCCACCTGCAACACGATGCTGCCCCCCCACGGCGGGTCGGAGCAGCTGTGCCGACCCCAGGGCTGACAGATTGGGTTGTCAGGAGCAGGACAATGAGGTGGCAGTGAGGATGGGCTCCATTATTGAATGACTCTGCCCTCCTTGAAATTTTTCTGCCCCATGGAGGTGCATCTCTGCCCCTGAGGACCTTGGGCATTTCACAGACAAGGAGCCCTGGCTGGCCTCGCAGTCATCCCCCATATGCACACATGCACACGCACACACATGTGCACACACACGCACATGCTGAGTGCCTGCACTGGGAACAAAGGCAAGAAAACTCCTTTAGAAACTGCAAAACAGAGGCTTGTCTAGCAGAGGTCCCCTGATAAAGGCTCTGTCTACCCACAGTTGCTGGGAACTGAACCCCTGTGAATGGGCCAGGAGAGACAGCTCCCGACTCCAGTGTAGGTTGCATTCATCAGCAGGCAGGCCCCCCAGCCCAGTCACTGTGTGAGGAGCTTTCATGAGTCCCCAGAACATCTAAGTCACAGGCTGGCAGCTGGCTGCATCTGTGGTTGCTGCTCAGCCTCCAGATAAGGGCCCCTCAACCTACCAGACCCCCTTGCTCCTTCCACTCACTCTGCCAGCCTGTTGCCCCAGAGAGGACACAGGCCAGCCTCTGTGGGCCCAGGAGACAGGGCAGCTGCTTGGCCACTCTAGGTGTTCTGGCCCTCAAGAGGGGAGTTGGCTGCAGGACAGTCCCCACCTCTCCCCACCAGCCCCGGGCACTCACCCCCATTCTCTGCTCCTCTCCCTCATTGCCTTATTGGGACAGAGGCACCCCGCCAACCATCTCTGTGCCTTTGCCATTTAGCCCAGGGCAAGCTACTTGGGAGAGGCCAAATGGTCTCACACTGACCCCTGCCTGGTCCCCTCTGGCTGCCTTGCTCACTTGCGCGCTTGCCGGCTCGGGAGTTGGTGCTGTAGGAGCTTCTCAAAGGCCTAAACATGTGGGCCACCAGCCCGGGCAGGGAGCCATGCTGCAGCCTCCCCAGCCAAGCACTGGCCTGCCTCTCTCCCCTCGGATGCCTCCTGTAACAGGGAGCTCCCTCTCTCCCCAAGCAGCCTGCTCAGGGCTCGCACACAGAGCTGCTTTGCGGAGCCCTCCCCTGTCTTTTGCATCTGCCTCCTCGGCTGTGCGGCAGCCTCCTTGCCCCCTCTGCCCTCCGATCTCTGCAGGCTGCAGGCTCCCTCTCTTTTCAGTCATCTCCTTTCTGTGCTAAATGGCAAAACCCCCACCAATGGTGGGAACAGGTTTGGGGGCCTCTACACCTGTCCTAACACTTCCGTCTCTGCTCCTTTAGACCTGGGACAAAGCCCTTTGCCCTGCTGTTCTGCTAAAAGCCCAGGGGAGGGCGTGGTGCTCCCCTCCTGGGGCCAGCTGCTCCGTGTCTATCTGTTCAGTGGCTTCTAAGCCCTCTCGGGTTTTCTATGGCCCCTTTTCCAGTTGCCAGGGAGAACGCTCTCTACGCAGCCCCCTGCCTTTTCTGTAGGAGCTGCTGGCCTCCCGGCCAGCCCTGGTCAGCCCTGCAGTAGCAGCAGCAGCAGCAGCAGGCAGCTGCGGCAGGGCTGGGGGCTCCTGAGCCAGACAGACCGGCTTGACTCCCTGCTCTCTAGCTGCGAGACAATTCCCTTTACTTTTCAGAGTCTCAGCTTTTCCCCCGTGAAATGGAGATGAGAGTTTCTCCGTCACCGGCTTGAAGTGAGGACTAAATGAGATAAGTGTAGGCTTGCACACATCAGACACTTCACAAATGCTTGTGGAGTAGACGGTGGGACCCAGGGAGGGAGAGAGGTATGTAACAAGTGTCGCAAGAGAGAAAACAGCCTGGCCTTTCAAGACCCCGCTCCCAATACAAACGGGAACCTCTCCTGGCAGAGTCCCCTCTGCTGGCTTAATCGCACAAATCAAGTCAGCCGGAGGCAGCCCCTGGCCTGCGGAACTCACAGTAGATACAGCAGGCAGCAGAAATGACATGCAGAGCCCACATCTGCATTTAATAGACCGAGAATTTGCATTGTATATAACAGCACGAGGGGTAAAGCATGAAGGCATAAAGGAACATTTTTCCCGGTGGCTTCCTTGAAGGACCAGCTTAGACAGGGAGGGATCTGGGGAGGAGAAACCCAGCGGGGTCCAGGCATCCCATAGACTGTGGGATAGACATCCATCCATGCACTCATTCTCCAAGCCACCGCAGTGTACCTACCTTCCCCGGGCCCGGTCCCAAGCGTGAGGCTGGGGATGAAGTGGTGCCGGTGGCTTCCTGTCCTCGAAGCTCAGTCGGTCTGGTGGGGGAAACAAACAGGGAATAAGTCACTGGAAATCGAGGTGATCGAGAGGGGATGCAGGCATGGAGATTTATAGAGCCCCATCTTGGAGCCAAGTCCCGAACTGGGCTGTCTGCAGAGAACTCACCCGGGCAATAACCCTGCACACTGGTCTCATGAGCCCCATTAGATTGATGAGGAAACTGAGGCACAGAAAGGCAAAGTCCTATACTCACCGTCTCTCAGCTGGTGTGAGGCTGGGCCAGGATGGAACCCCAGACTATCCAAGGCTCCCCACCACACCCTGCTGCTGAAGGCTGCTCAGCGAGGCTGTGCCGAGTGCTGGGGGGGTGTGGGTGGGCAGGGGACGGATTGATTAGTTATAAGCACCTCCCAGCGGTGCTTGAGATCCCAGCTCCTCTGTGGCCCAATCCGTTTGAAGGGCAGATTCAAAATTAGGTGGTAGCACCTATGGGCAGAGGCTTATGAAAATGGCATTATTAACCTGATGTGGAGAGGGCCCTGCCTGTCTGCAAGTAGATTGCAGATAGAGACAGAGGGGGCTGGGCTTGTTTGTGTGGACAGTGAGTTAGAGAGGACGGAGAACATCCAGGGGCCCTCCAGGGCTTCCGGACAGGGAGAACCAGATCTGGAGGGGTTGGGGCTGGACAAGTGGGAGGGGGAAGAGGGGGCACGTCTTAAGGGCGCCCCAGCACCTCAGGGAAATGCCCCAGGCTGGACTTGCAGGAGGATCTCCAGCCTTGACTCTGACACAAACAGGGACTATGGCCCTCCCCGCACCTCGGTTTCCCATCTGTGAGATAAGAGATGGAAACCAAACATCATTTCGAGAAAAACCCCCATTCCCACCACCTTCCTGGCCCCCCTCTTCCCCCACCACCACAATCACGGTTGCCAGACACCTGTCTGCTTGTCAGAGCAATATTCAACAGGAGAGTTCCTTCGGTTCCTTCCTGGAGGGAGAAGGGAGAGGTGTGGACGACAGGCAGAGGGGAGGGGAGAGGTGCCCCCGACTCAGAGAGGCCGCTGAACAGAGTTCTGCATCGGGTAGGAGTTGGGCCACCGAAGATTTGTGCCAACTCACGGTGCGGTGGAATCAGTCTGAATTCTTCAGACACCAGCCAAGAGTCTGTGGCGCCCCCACGTGCCACAAGGGGGCTGCCTGGGCCACATTTTTGAGCCCGAAAAGTGAGGAGGGGGACAGTGAAGAGGAACCAGCGCTTTTGCTCTGGCAGCGGCGCTTTTAACTGCGACAGATGCGTGCGGGGGGAGCCGGCCGGCAGTGCCGGGGCTGGGGGCTGCTGGGCGGGGGTGGCCGGGGCCGGGGGGCGGGGGCTGCAGGTTGCGCCCCTCCCTCACAGACGGCTGCGCTGCAATGCAGCAGGCTGCGGGAGCTGTCCCGGGAGCTGTCCTGTCCGGTGGCCGGCTTTCCAAAGTGGGGAATGAGAGATGAGGGAGGGAGCACTTCCAGGCGCTGCGTGGTGGCCAGGCGCCCAGGAAGCCGAGGGGCCCGAGACTCTGCAGCGGGGCCAGAAAGAGAAGAGTAGGGGAGGAGGCCGGGCGTGGTGGGTGGACCAGGGGGTAGCTGGAGGTGGGTGTGGACCTGGGGTCGGGCGCCAGTCAGCCTATGAAGGACGGAAAGGAGGGCTACAGAGATACGGGGAAGAGTGGGGCTGAGGATAGCCAGAGCAGCTTGGCACACAGTTTTAGGGTAAAAGCATCAACTCTTATCTTTCCAAAAGAAATAAACCCCCGCCCCCAAAAGAAAGAAAGAAAAAAAAAAAAAAAGAAAAAAAAGCATTTGAAAGCTAGACAGCTGAATCCTTCCCAGCATGACTGAGCCGGCCGCTCCAGGGTCTTCCTTCAAAGCATGTCCAATGGGAGACAGCATTGTCCCAGTAACCAAGCTGGGACCCGAGTCCCAGGGAAGGGCTCATCAGGTGGCCACTCTGCCTTAAAGAGTGGTACCCTCAGGCCCTTTTCCAGTCAGGGAAGGGCCTGGGGGTTAGGGAGAGAGCTGGAGGACTTGGGGAGGCAGGGGCTGGGAGGGAGAGTGGGGAGAGGAGCGCTGGGGGGTGTAGGAAGGTCTCTGGGCAGCTGGTGGGTGTCTTGTTCTGTAGCACTCTGCACCCTGGTACATCGTCCTCGGTCCACCCGACATGGAATGATTCTCTTCCCTCTGGATACAGCCCCTCTAGCTCCCTTTTCACTTTGAGGCGTTTGCCCCCTGCGAATCAGTTCCCTGCTACCCTGAAAGATTTCTCTCATACCCCAGGCCCCTCTGTTCTTTTAAATGCACCCTCCACACCCAGCCCTTCATCTCCTGCGCTGTATTTTCACTTGTTGATTTAAAAATCCCTTTATTATGGTACATTTCAAACAACATAAAATTAGAGAAAATAGTACGTATTTTTACAGTTTACTCAATTTTCATATTGCCATCACCTGGAAATGGATGCCATCAAACCCTGGCCCGTCTTATTTTGTCTAAACCCTAAACTGTGCCTCTACCCCTACTCCCCAGCCCCTACCCCTGGACTGTTTCAAAGCAAATTTCAGACACCATATTGTTTCCTCTGAGCATTTTTTAGTTTGTATCTCTAAATAAGCTTTTCTTTCTTAAAAATATAGCCACAATACCATTATTACAGTTAAAAATTAATAACATTTCCTTAATATCATCCAACATCTACACAGCATTCAGATATTCTTGATTGACTCATAAATTTCTTTTACAGTTGGCTTGGTCAAATCAGTGTTCAAACTATCTCCTGCCCTTTCAAGAGGATCTAGGGCTCTAGAAGGTAAGTATGGTTACAAATTTAGGGGTTGAATATCTGCCTGGACCTTAAATGAGAAACTCAACCTCAGCAAACCTCAGTGTTCTCACTGAAAATGGAGCAAGTTCTGGGTCTCTCCTTGGGTCATTGAGAGGGTTAGAGCATTAACCCCTGAAGCCCCCAGCCTCATGTCTAGTATGTCAGAGACACTCAGCAAACAGTAGCTGCGAGAATGATTCTTTTTCCCAGAAATCTTTAAAGGGGAGTTGGGCAGGGGTAGGCAAAACATAGCTGGCTATCATCCATAAAACAAAAGGCTCCTGGCAGTCCAGGCCCCGTGAGTGGTTAAAACAGCACATGCACTACATCCCAAAAAGGGCAGCCTACCGTCTCGGGGCTGGGTTCGCTTGGCCCTCCTGGCTCGCCATTCAGCTGCCTGACCTCAGCTGTTGTGACCTGGGACCAACGGGGGACCCCGGCAGGTGCCTATCCACTAGATGGCACTCTCTACTGTGAGTCCAGGGGGTACCACCACCCCAAACCGCTTTAGCCACTGCCCAGCCCTGGGGGTACCGCTGGGGGATGCACACCACTAAAACATCTCAGATAATTTCTAAAAAGCATTTCTCAACGTGTCATGCAAAAGATGCAGTGGTTTTTTTCCTTGCATAAATCCCAACCAGATTGCAGGAGCAGAGGGAATGAACATGTAATGACTTTGCTGAGGCCAGACACTGGTACGTCTACACTCTCTTTAAATCCTCGCTCCGGCGACATCTGATTTCCCTTTATTTTACAGATTAGAGGACTTTGAGAGGTTAGTGACTTGCCCAAGATCGGCTAGGAAGCAAGACCCAAGATTCCAACTCAGGTCTGTGTGATTCCTCTGCAAAATGGAGAGGTGGAAGGATGGATGTCAGGTCTGAGGGAGGGATGGATGCCTGCATCAAGATGCATGCATAGATGGAGAGATGACTGGCTACCTGATGAATGCTGGTTATATGGATGAGTGAGTTGAAGCACAGGTGGTGGAAGGAGAGAGGAATGAGAGAGAATAGTCAGTTTCTCACCAAGATCAAAGGCTTACTTGATCTTTGAAGAGAGGTTCCCCCTGAATGGAGCTCGCTGGTGAAGCTCCTGCCTTCTGTTCTGCTTCTGAGCACACTGACTGGCTCAGGTGGCTCTGGGACAACAGGTGGGATGCCAGCTTACAGGGACCAAGTCCCAGCTGTGGTGCTGGAGCTGCTCAGTGGCAACTCTCTGTCTCTGCTGCTTTCATGCAGCACTGAGGGAATAGCAGGCATCCGTCTTTCCACTGGCTCTCCTGGATGACTAAGCCCTAAGCCCCAACCGCATACTCAGCCCTTCGCTGGCACTTGGCATAATTTTATCTCCTCTAAATCATCACAGCCACCCTCCACGATAGCAATTTCCATTCTCAATTAAGTGAAAAGGAAACTGAAGTTTGGGAGTGGTAAGTGACTTACCCGAAATCATATAGGGAGGAAATGCAGACCCAGGATTTGAACTTGAGTCTTCTTTCCTTCCAAACTCATCCGCTCAACCTGTTTATCTCCTTTTCTCTGTGACCGTGTCTGAAGAAATCTGCCTTGGGGTTGTCTTATGCTGGACTCACTCACTTGGTCTGTCAGTGAGCTGAACTTCTCATCCAATCAAATCCAAGCTTATTTCCCAAGTAATATCTCTAGTGTATTCTATTTGTAATGATCACACAAGCAAGGGCCACACATATCACTGGCATCCTACAGTACAATTAATCAAGTCAAATTAGATTCCTGGCATCTCATATTCTGACTGAATGCTAATGGTAGCAGATGTAAAAATGAGTCCATTGCAAGGCAAGGAGGGAGGGGACTGGGTGGAGGGCTGAATGGTGAATCAGTAAGCCTCGCTGCAGACCTGGGTTAATATTAGCGGATAGGTTTTGAGAACCTGCTTATGGGCTAGGCCCTGCTTCACACACTCTAGGTGCTAGGGTTTCAATCTCAGCTTTGCCATTGACTACTTTCATGAGTTTGGACAACGTATTTAATTTCCGTGCCCCGTTTTCTTCAGTTCTACCAATAGTACTTTACTAATACCAATAGTACCTTACTAATGAGTACTTGAGGATTAAATGAGGCAAACATATAAATTCCTTAAAAGAGAGCATTCCAGGCTGGGCATGGTGGCTTGTGCCTGTAATCCCAGCACTTTGAGAGGCTGAGGTGGGAGGATCCGTTGAGCCCAGGAGTTCGAGACCAGCCTGAGAAACATAGGGAGACCCCAATCTCTACAAAATATTTAAAAATTATCTGGGTATAGTGGTGCACATCTGTGGTCCTAGTTACCTGGGAGGCTGAGATGGGAAGATTGCTTGGGCCTGGGAGATCAAGGCTGCAGTGAGCCATGATTGTGCCACTGCACTTTAGCCTGGGTGACAGAGGGAAACCCTGTCTCCAAAAAAAAAAAAAAAAAAAAAGCAAAAAAAGAATGCTTTCCAGATAATGAGCATTCAATAAATATTTACTTACAATGAAAATTACAGTACTTACAAGTGTTGTTATTGAGGTGTCATTTGATGACAGGCAGGTAAGAATCGTTCTCCACATTTTACCAATAGCCGAACAGGTGCTCAGAGAGGCCTGTGTGCTTGTCTTTGGAGAATGAATCAGTGAAATAGAAGCAAAAATACTCATTTAAAACTGCAAGTGCTAGTGATAGAAGTGAGAGTTCTACGCAGCAAATGGGCATGATCCATCTAAGGAAAGATGAAGCCCTAAGAGAGGTGAGACTCCCGTGAAGGAATTTACCTGTGGTATAGGGGCTTACACAGGGGTTGCCTGGGAGCTGGGAAGAAGCTGAGTAGGTAAAAGGCAAGATGAATAATTACAGTCCTGTGAATCGAAGTTTCTGAGGTTAAAATTCATTAAACTTCATGGTTTCTAGCAGTAGTGAGCAAGGTTCCCCAGTTCTCATATATGATTTCATTAAACTTTCCCTACCTGTTTTTTTGGGGGAGAAATGGTCACTTTAGAAATGTTTCTTGACTTGCTCTTTTGGAGGTGGCCAGTTGGAAAAATTCTGAGTCTCTTACCATGTGGGGCATGAGGACTGGGAAACCTCCTTCCATTCCTGGGGCAGCACATCTGTAACTTAAGCCTAGGTGGCATGTGTCTGCACATGGGGTGCCTCTGGCGGGTTGCAATCAGATGCCCTAACAGCCAGGTGGGAGGAGATGGGTCTAGAATTGGTGCTGACTTGCTGGGCTGTGTTGAGTCTAAGCTGTGATCCCAGCATTGCCTGACTTCAGATTCTGTGAAGTCCTGTAAGAAATGTTGCCCCTGCAGCTCCTCCAAGATGGACAGTTTATTTATTCATCCGGGTCTAATGGTACATCCTGGGGATAACCTCTGCTTCTGGGGCTGCCTGTGTGGGAGGTCAGAAACACCTTTGCAGCCCCACCCCCCCGCAACGTGATTTATTCTCACACTCACATTGCCGGCTGGCAGTGGGTCACTGCTGCCAAAATGAGGCATCGGGAAGAAGTGGGAAGGCTGACTCCGGAGCGACACTGCCTGGGTTCGCCTCCCGGCTCAGCATCTCCTTGCTGTGTGACCACTTATAAGTCATCTAACTTCTCTGAGTCTCAGTTTCCCTAGGTATAAAATAGGACTAGTAATGCTTTGCTCAAATACCATCATCTCCGTGAGGCTTCCTCCCTCGTGTCACTCCCTGCCCCTGTCCTGCTTTATTTTCTTCCCTAGTTCTTATCACCGTCTTTTATTCCATGCATTAGGCTTTACCTTTTCTGATGATTTTCTGTTCCTATCTCCACCCACAGGGATGTTAATTCTCATGGGATGGGGATCTGTCCGTTTTGTTCACTACTGTATCCCCGGCACTTAGACCCAGCACCGGTACAAAGTACATGCTCAAAAATTTTGGGGGAAAAATTTATGAGATACTATTGAATCGTATCTACTCCAGAGGAGTGTCAATGTATGCAAAGTAAGCAGCATGGTGCTTGGTACAGAGTACGCATTCAATAAATATTGGCTAATTATGATTATTATGTCTAATTCACAGGCCTGTTGTGAGAATCAAACGAGATAATGTATGCTGAGGCATGCTGTGAACACTGCGTGCTGGGTACAGGAGGTACAATATTAATGATCCCTGCTGCTTGGAGGGAACTTGCACTTAAAATGTTATGCTTTTCATTTTCACACCACTTGGGAGGGAGGAAAGGCTGGTGGGATGATCGCCACCTGAGGCTCAGGGAGGGGACAGGTTTTCCCCAAGGCCCCACAGTATGAAGAAGGCAGGAGCAGGGCGCCACACTGGTGGTCTTCCCACGACTCTCTCATGAAAGTCCCCCGACGGACAGATTGATGTGTATATGACATTATATACGTACCCCATAACTCTATATAATATATAGAATTATTTTCAGGTCCCTGAGTTGCTCTGAGGCCAGTTGTGCCAGATGGTGCACACCCAGGACAGGCTGCGGGGATAGGAAGGAAACTGGCTATGTATCATTGCCAAGGCCCATAGTGAAGCCTCTTTGGGTTTCTTGGAATCAAGTTTGAACATCAAGAATCTCACGGCATAGACTTCTCCAAGGGTAGTCCGATTTCACAAAATGAATTTTCATTTTCCAAAGCGCATCTCTTAGTTGGATTTCTGTTTTTCAGGGTACTTGTTTAAGCTCTGATGCCGTGTCCAAAAAAGAACAGACCCCCAACAATTCCCTGCCCGAGTCCCAAACCCTTGACTTGATCTGAGCGTTGAGCTAATTCATTTCTTTGATCAAACTGGGGACTGTTTAACCAGTCAGGTGGGCGTCACGGGACGGGGAAAGGGCGGGGTGTGCGCAGGTGTGCAAGGCAGGCTACTTGAGGGATGGGCGATAGTTCAGGTCACCCTCCGGTTGGACCCACGAGGGCGCTGCGTTCCTCATTCTACAAATCGTACAAGTCGGGGCACAAGACAGAGAAGCCAGGTCACGTCTCTGCAGTTACACAGCTCACGAGTGCCTGCTGGGGTGGAACCTGGTCTGTCTGTCTGTCTAACACCAGAGCTTGGGCGCTGCTGCAGAGGGAGCCAAGATTTGGGTGAGGGAGGGGGTCAGACGTGGGGTGGAGGGTTTTGTTTGTTTGTTTTTTTAACCTGGTTGCCATTGGCATGAAAATAATAACATAACTTTGCTTGGGGACTAGTGCTGCGACTATCTTGCTGATGGGGAAACAGGCACAGAGACGTTAGCTCGTTTTCCTGATGTCACCCAGCTAGTCTGGCGTTGAGGCTGGATTTGGGAGGTGGGTACTGAGGTGTGAGCATATGTGCTGTACCCGTTGGGCCCACTGGCTCATGAAGTGAGCACAGGTGCAGATGGCTCAGCGATCTGGGTTTGAGGGCTTTTACCAACCCCCCAGCCGTGAGTGTGCTCTGAACTCAAGCTTGTATATTTCACATTCTCCCTTGACCCTTCTTTTTAGCCTTCACTGAAAACTCCCGCAAGCCACTGATCCATGGAAAATAAGAATACATATATTACATATATGTTGTAAATTTATATATATATATATATATCTGGAAAGGGATTGTATCCAGGATATTTGGGAGTGGTTGTTTAAGGTAGAGGGAGGCAGGGGCATGAGAAGGGAAGGGATGGAGGTGGGAACCACCAGTGGTAATTGTCATGGGTGGTTTTAACAATCAATACAATAAGAGAGAGGCATGCCAGCAGGAAGGACGGGAGTGGGTTGTAAACCAGGGATGGTGATTAATTCTCCACAACTGAGGGGCATTAAAAAGAGATCAG